ATGCCTTGGACACACTGTTAAGACTACATTGTGGCACAGTCGTGTAGGTCATCCTTCCAACCCTATGGTATCTCTTATGCTTAGTAAATCCAATGTTACTGTTGTAAAAGATAAAGTTTTCATTAAAAATAAAGGTCAAAGCATATTTTAGATTGAAATCCTAATTATCCTTCCAAAACATAATCAAGATCGAAATCATTCTCTCCAGATGTACCAAAAACATGAAAAACTTAAAACCAATAATAATTGACTACTGATTAATAACATTTATGTTGGGTTGATAGGGTTGGGCTCAAGCTACTTGTTGACTAATACTTCTGTTGCACATCCTCTTTTCTACCCAGAACTTTTTCAGTTTTGAAACCATACTTTATGGCACACAACTCTAATTGTTCTGTTCCTTTCATTTCTCAGTTTCCTCTTCTGTTTTTTGTTCGATACAATGTTGTCGTATAGCATTGACTCTCATATATTTACTGGAAAATATACAGTACCACGTTACATTGAATGCAACATGAAATAAACGAATGAGATATAAAGAAACAGATCATATTCATACACATTGCAGAGAACCTACAATTTTTTTCCCCTAAAAATGCAAACCTATTTCAGACAATACACGAAGTATCTGAAGTTCCGTCACGTCGCAAACAAAAACTTGTCCATTATAGAAAATCGTAATTTGTTCTTTGCTCCGAGTTGACTCACTCCTAACAAAGATAAGAGGGAAAGCAAAGAGATATCAGGGAAGTCTTCTTCCAGTTTCCAAAAGAGATATCAACAAGCAAACAGATAGAATTAAACATTTGTTTGGTCATTTCAAATTTTTGGCATGATATATCAAATGCAATCTCTTATAAAACCAAAAGGAAAAGGCTAAGTTTTTGAAATCGTCCACACACGCACAAAATGATCATAACTTCTCATCCAACTAGTGTACGTGTGAATTTCATCGTCAATCTCATACATGCACAGTTAAGACTCACTTATGTGCGTGTGAATGCGGAAAAATATCATAGCATTTTGGGCACGAAAACACTGATGAACTTACGTTGGAGTTTTGTGAGAATACGACTGTGGTTCAGAAGTGGCCATCGGAGAATGTTGAACGTACAAGCTGCACTCCGTTTCCGATAGCCACCAGTAGGAGGAGAGACTACTATTCCATCTGAGAATTAAATCAAATTATAAGAATAAAGCTACAAAATTTTTTTTTTTTTGGGGGGGGGGGGGGGGGGGGGGGGTGCGGGGCGGGTGTGGGGTGGCGGGGGTGGTTGGGCTAGAGAACTGTTTCGACGAAGGGATCAGAGTTTTCATGGTTTGTTATAGGAGAGTGTTTGATAAAATTAAAAAAATTAAAAAAAGCATAAAAAACGTACCCCAAATGTTGGCTAGGTATTTGGCCACGTGAGAAATTCTTTCACACTCTTTCTCCGTCTAATTTTCTCTACCTCTCTCACACTTTCTAGATTATGACATTGCGTGAAGGTAGCGGCCTTTTGTCTTTTCAAATTGGATTCCAAAAATGGAAAGTATTGTATTACAAATTTGCAATTCATGAGGGTTTGTTTTGCTTTGGTGATGCAATTGACTCGTAATCCTATTTACTTGCACGTTAGGGGGGAGACAAATGCCCAAAATTGAGATATTTTGTTAATGAATAATCATCATCTCTTTTATTTGAATGTGGTCAAATCATATTATTACGAATTTGGCGTCTTACTCTTAAATGAAAATTTTATTTTTACATTTGACGCAGTTTAATCATATTTAGAAACAAGTTTAATTATTGCAATCAATAAAAATATTTAAAATAATTCCTGATCACATAATGTATGATGAACAAATATGGTTCACGGATTCCCAGAATCCTCACAAAGAGGATCCAGATAGAATCCAGATTCATGTTAAGGATCTAACATGAGGTTGTTTAAGTCATATGTTGACATCTAACCTGGCTTTGTGATTAGACATGTGACTTTGGGTCGATCACTAGGTTTTGTGACAAAAATAACGAAATGATGGAAAATACTTAATTTGCACCATATTGTCGAAGTTCAATGTGATTAATTAGCAAAAGGTTCAAGTCTCACTCAACTTCGCCATTTGAGCTAACCCATGCGACAACTTAATTATGACTCAATACCTATCCTCGCTTTTTTGGCTTGTGCAATTATAATCAACCAAGTTATCTACAAGGGTAATGCTATAAAGATTCAATTTATAAATCAAATTTTGTAAATCAAATGTTGTGAATAGTGATGATTAGATTATTACTTAATTGTTGATTAATATGCTTATTTTTTATTGATAACACATCAATTGATTGACAAATTTGATTTAAAAATTTGATCTCCCAAACTTTACTCTATCTACAAATATTGTGCTAAAATGCATAGAAAATAGGGGCGGCATGAGCAAAAGCTTTCAAGCCTTTAAAATTATGAGTAACATACGAATTGTTGTGTTCCCATGGTCGCCATTCCCTTGCAAACAAGAAATCACACTAAGAATTGAGACATAGCTAGTGAGGGTCCTCTACAAATGAAGGGAAGTGTAAAACTTCTTAGGGTAGAGTTATTGGGACTTGGTCAAAAGGTTTGTTTATGTTTTAGCAGACTGCTAGGCCGAAATAGCATTTGACTTAGAGTTTGTTTAGTCATTTGAAGATTATCTCTGCAAAAATTATTCGAATTAGAGTTTGTTTAGTCATCCAAATATATTAAATAAATGGACGGTTCATCCTGAATATACTACTTAGTATCTATACTGTTAATTTATTTAATACATTTAGATAACTATGATTATAATGAAAAATAAAAAGATGGAGAAATAAAAGTCCGCTCCAAAATACTTCTTTTAGGGTACTTATGCTCAAATGTATTTTGAGTAAAATCACTTCTATTAGAAAAGTATCAATAATTTTAACAAAATTGCAAGTGTTTTTTAGGTAACCAAAAGCTTTTGTATGTTCTTAATTTTTTTTACCAAATATTGTCAGAAGCACTTCTAAGGAAAAGGCGGATTCATTTTTTGGGGATCTAGAGATCTTGTAATTATATCCGTTCATCGTACATTGTGCGGTCATAAATCATTTTAAATTTAAAATTAAATATAAATAGTACCTAATAAAAACTGACCGCACGATTTACGATGAACATATATGATTACAAGATCCCCAGATCCTCTAGAAAAGGATCCGGCGAGCAGATAATTTAAAGCCGTTTTTAGTTTTGAAAACACATTTTCAAAACGGCCTGAAATTTACCGTAAGATCCGGGATAGAATTGAACTTTAATCTTTTCTTGATAAGAGAAATATTTGAACTTTCATTATCAAGTATCTTATTAGTACTCTCAACAAGCTTTTTGATAATCACGAATTCTGTTTGAAGATTCCAACCAGCCGGCCTTGTCATCTTGTCATGGAATTTTAGCAAAGAAACTCTAGTTTACAAGGCCTTTTTTTTTATTCTCTTTCTAAAAATAATTTTGATTGCTTATGCCCGTCCTTTCTTCATGTTTTTACTTGCTACTCCATTCATATTGGACATGTATGTAATGACAGTTTAATCTTCGTAAAATTTGTGTACCGATTTTCTCATCAATTTGGACGTTCTTCGTCTACTTGTCTCAAAGGTTAGAAATTTGAGTATGACAGTCAGATTAAATGGATGGTCAGTTATAGTTTTAAAAGAAACAAGTCTTATTGTATTTGAATATGATTTGAGTTTACATAGGTATAACTTCCGAAACACATTTTCACCTTTTGTGAGAGTTATATGAATAGTGAATTTGATCAAACTACTCTATTCAAGTTTGTATCCTCAAACGTCGACTCTTTCAAATTGTTAGTTGGTAAGTTATTTTTGTTTACTGACATGCCTGACCTTGATATTCTCCAAACACCAGGGTAACAAAATTGTTAGTTGGTAACATATTTTTGTTTACTATAATCCATGATTATTAATTTATTATAATAGTCATGCCAAAATTCTTGTGCATGGGACTCTTTGTAGAACTCATTGTCCTAACCTATAAAATGCACACATTATAAACATTCATCATTATCAGAAATTTACACACAAAGTAAGATGGATTATTATTATTTATCCTTAATTAGAATTTTACTTGACATGTTCAATTGACTGCGTAGATCTAAGTCCATTGGCGGATTATTATTTGTCCTTAATTAGAATGCATCAGTAAACATTGTTTGTTTCACCACCAAGTACGATTACTGAAAACATAAGAGAATTTGTTTACTTTTTGATCAACATACTAGAGAATTCGTAAACATGCTAATAGAAAATACTCTTGATAAGCACTAAAGAATGATGCGATACATATTCCGGGTCATATACATATAGTTAGTTGCTGGTGATTTTGTCACCAGAAGACTCAGTGGGTGACATCTTGCCTTGCCAGTAGACATGTGATACACTTTTTTAAGACTAAGAGTATGTTCTAATTTATGGTCGGGAGCATTAGTAGTTGTTTTATCTAATTTTAAAGGATCATTTGTTTGGATCAACCTTATCCGTGTGGTGCTAGGTCATGGTGGGTACAACAAATGAAATAGAATTGTTTCTTCCTTATGTATAAGTGTCCTGATTTAAGATATTGATCTTTGTTTGTTTTGCCATAAAGTTTGTTTAGTTAAACACTTGCCTTAGCCATGAATCTTAATTTTCTGTTAATATTGCAGATACTTCATTCCAAGTTTGACTCAAATTTAGATGCAGTACGTCAGCCATGAAATCTGCAATTCTCTATGATGGTTCAATTACAAATTTTGATTCCCGGTTGAGTGGATTTGATATTGGCGCTTGCGTAGAGGTAATTTCTAACATATTTGTCTTTCAAACCCTTCTTTAGAAAGTTCTGCCACATAAAACCTGTAAATATTCCTGTTCGCACAGAAATCAGGTGCCCCCGTTGTACTGTAATTGGTTTATAATATTGCTTGCTCTGATTGGAAATCATAGGTAATAGAGCATATGGACGAAGATCACGCATCTGAGTTTGGCAACGTGTTAACGCGTAGGTGCTTGATCTTATTCATGAGCTACTTTGCAAAGGGGTTTCGTTGCGGCTTTTTAGTTTTGGTTAGAATACTACTTTGCTTTTAGTTTCCTTATTGATTACAAGTATTTATCAGTAACATTGGTGAATAAATATCTAATCTGATTTTGTTTGCATTGATTTGGATATTTAATGAAAAGACATGTGAATGTGATACATAGATAACAAAGGTGTTCATAATGGATAGTACAGTGTTTTGCATAGCTTTAACATGTGTTTGTACTTTCATGATGTGGTATAGATTTCTGTTCCATATTAATTTCGTATTTCATGTCATAATATGTTTAAAGAATGTGGAGTTAATTAAAATAGGAGAAAATCATTTAGAGCTCTAGGAGTTTTGATGATGGTGTTCTGGATGTTCCAATGGATGTTGCGGAGTGTTCGGTTAAAAAAAAAAAAAAAGGCTGATTTGGAAGAGTAAGAATATAATTGTGATACATGGAAGAGTTGGAAATAATTACCAGGACAAAATGTTAAGCCTGCTCTCTTTCAACCTTAAATACATTCTCTTTTCTATTTGACAATTGTTGATTTATTATAATTTTTTGCTTTGCCTGCATGTTTATGCAGGCTTGTTCTCTACAATTTTTTGGGGGCGTGTGATTTGTTGTGTTGTGATTTTTTGTTGGACTAAGTGATTTGATACTGGTTTGTTCATGTTGTAGAAGTAGTAAAATCACAAAAGATTGTATATTGTAAGCCATTCTAATGGTACATTGTTATTGACCTTTATCTAATTGCTAAAGTTTGATTTTTATTTTTTCACCTGAGTTAAGCATTTAGCTACTGGATTGCATGAAATCTGTATTTAAATAACTCAAGCATCGTGTAATTTCCCTCAAATCCCCGCCGATTCTCTATCTCGCCATTCTCAGTCTCTCCAGCCGCGAACCCTTACAGCTCCATGCTCCGCCTCGAGGTTCGTCGAGATGAGAGCCCCAAGACCATCGCCTGCACCACCGTCTCAGAAAAGTGAGCCAAAATCTTTGCGAGATTCAGGCTGCACACGAGCGGATCCATAGGCCAAACCTCCGATCTTGAGGTCGACACACCCAGAGGTAAAAATTTCTCATCCTCTCTCTTCGATTTCATATATGTTGTTAGATTAAAAGGGAAAATATGAGAACTAACTCAAGCAAGTGTTCTGGATGTAAGCTAAAAGATCAATTTAACTTTTCGTCCCTGTCAATTTAGTGCTTTTTCTTTTCTTATTACTTTTAGGAGTTGATTGTTGAGATATATTATGACTAACAAATTTACTGTTGCGTGTTGTCATCTTTTTTGGTGAAGATTTCTTTTTTGAAAACTGTATGCCATGACAAAATAAATTTAGAAGGAAAGTCTTTTCATATTAAATCCATGTCAGCCTGACCACTGCCACCCTGGAACCTTCGCGCTTCTGTAAGTTTTCAACACAATATAGTTCAAATCCTCTTAATCATGTTCTTGAATTTTACTATGTTTATCGTGTTCTTTGCATTTCATTATCTTAACTCTGTTAATTGAATTTGGTTACCTGAATCGTGTCTAATATTTGATGTGGCCAGTGGCTTTCTATGGCTGGCTGGTGTGATTTGGGACTGTTTTTAGTCAATGGGAGACAGGGGACAAAGGTGTGGGGCAGCGAAGTCACGTGGGATTAGAAATTTAGGATAGTAGAATTTTTGCTAATTTATGGGATTAGAAGTCTTCCTTTATTTTTGTCTTGGTGTGATCATTGTAACAAAGAATTTTCATTAAATTGAGGTTGTGAACCTACTAATTTTCAACTGTTATTTATCTACAGTCTTCTCCATTCTCTTGGACCAAGCATGAAATCCCAAGCACTATATCACCACAAAGCAAGCAAGCTGAAAAGCAATCCAGCAAACCCTTTTTCCAGAAGCACTTAACACAACCTTTCTATGGGTTAATTGTTGTTTCAATTATACCAGATTGAAAACGAGTATGGAACCATTGGTCAAGCATACGGGGATGTTGCTTCTTTTTCTCAAGGAAACAGAGCATTTTTTTTATAACCACATCTTTTGTAATCAGCTCGGTTGAATGTATATAAAAGCCAAGCTGCTTATCTTACCGATACTGTTCACTCATCTATCCCTTTTATTCGTTCATGATTACGTTGAATTTTTTTCAAGTTAAATGTGTTTTATTCATGTAGTTAAGGTTGGTGCATTCAAGTTCCGCAGCAACGCGCGGACATATTTACTAGTATAACCTATGAAAATTGAAATGATTACGGAATATTTTAGCCATGGGAGTTGATTTTCACACATTATTTTTAGCCTTTCACTCACCTATTTATATTTCTGAACATCAGATTGAATAATCAAAAATAGAAACAACGGACAAGATCAAATAGTTATCCATGTTTAGAAGAAAAAAAAAAGTGTGCACTTATCATTTCCCTTTCGCAATGTCCAAAAAAGCTGAAAGTGATATTCTATAACGCAAAATGACAAAAGAATCGAAGGTCCGCTAGTTGCATGGCGACTTTGATTTTAAAAGTAAATCTCTAACAAGATTATCTTAAAGACTTTTCCCCACAGATTATTGACACTAACATTATTGTACACATTTCTCTGTTTCTAGTAGAAAAGTCGTGAACTCGTGATCAAGTAGCTGTCTTGCTGTCTTCTATTTTTTAATGAATGCCTACTTTCTTTCACATCTCTCCCTGAATTTACTTGATCTCTCTAAATTCAAATACAAGAAACTGGACTACCATTCAACTTAAACCACATATATGTTGAACAGTAGCTCACTACAAGCACTATAAACAAGCTGCACCGCGATGCAAACATAATCCAAAATGGATGCCACAACAGTAGCTACTAAGCCTCACGCTGTTTGCATTCCAGTTCCGACTCAAAGCCATATCAAGGCAACGCTTAAATTTGCAAAACTCCTGCACAGTAGAGGTTTCCATATTACCTTTGTCAACACGGAGTTCAATCACAAGCGGTTTCTTAAATCTCTAGGAACCGATTCCCAATATGGCTTGCCTGATTTCCGGTTCGAAGCCATCCCAGATGGCATTCCAGATTCAGGTGAAGATGCCACCCAAAATCTCACTTTACTCTGCGATTCCATACTAAAACATACTTTCCTGGCGCTGTTTCGTGATCTCCTCACTAAGCTCAACGATGATGCCAAAACAACATCCAACAATCCACCAGTGACTTGCATAGTTTCAGATGGTTTCATGTCCCCAGTCACAGTCACTGCTGCTCAAGATATTGGAGTCCCTTCGGTGCAGTTCTACACTATTGCTGCATGTGCCTTCATGGGCTTTTTACAATTTCGTGCTTTGGTTGAAAAAGGACTTGCACCACTCAAAGGTGAAATATATACAACTATTGAAGCAACTGCTTAATTTTTGGTTATTTCTTTATTTCTTATTTTTGAAACATGCAAATGAAATTTTTCGTGTTGTAGATGAGAGCTGTTTGACAAATGGATATCTGGAAAAAGTTATAGACTGGATTCCTGGAATGAAAGATATTCGTTTAAGGGATATCCCAACTTTTTTTCGAACCACAAATCCGGATGACATCCTATTTAACTTCACGATGAAAGCAACGGATAGAGCTCATGAAGCTTCAGCAATTGTTCTTCATACTTTTGATGCCTTGGAGACAGATGTGTTGGATGCGCTCTCATCTATGCTTCCACTTGTTTATCCCATTGGCCCTCTTCAATTACATCTCAACCAGATACCAGAACACCCCTTGAATACTGGATACAGTCTATGGAAAGAAGAAACTGAATGCCTTGAGTGGCTAAACGCTAAGGCACCAGATTCTGTCATGTATGTGAATTTTGGCAGTATAGCAGTCATGACACCTGAAAATCTTGTCGAGTTTGGCTGGGGACTTGCAAATAGCAAATTGCCCTTCTTTTGGGTAATCAGGCCTGATCTTGTAATTGGTGAACCCGCAATTTTTCCGCCTGAGTTTGTTGCCGAAACAAAAGAAAGAAGTCTTACAGCAAGTTGGTGCCCACAAGAGCAAGTCCTGAACCACCCATCAGTTGGAGGATTTTTAACTCACAGCGGTTGGGGTTCAACAATTGAGAGCCTGACTGCAGGAGTGCCTATGCTCTGTTGGCCTTCCTTCGGGGACCAGCAAATGGACTGCCACTATACTTGCAATGAATGGGGCATTGGGATGGAGATTAGTAATGATGTGAAGAGGCGTGAAGTAGAGAAGCTTGTCAAGGAGTTAATGGAGGGAGAGAAGGGTAAGAAGTTGAAAAATAAGGTCATGGAGTGGAAGAAACTTGCAGAAGAAGCTACTGGGCCGAATGGTTCTTCAACCAAAAACTTAGACAATTTAGTGAATCAAGTTCTACTAAGAAAGAACTAGATGTCAGTACGTAATTTAGAACTACCAACTATACTCCGAGTTCAAAACTCCCTCTCTCTTCCGTTAGTATTGATTAGTGTAAAATATCATTTATAATAAAAATAAAAACAAACCTTGATGTCGATACGTGATTTAGAAACATCTCAAAATTACCATATTATTATTGTTCTAAGTTCTAGAACTATCTGAGTATGAGGTATTCTCAGCATCATATAATAAATGGTAGACCAACCTCAACCCTTTGAATGTTTGGTAGTGTGGTTGTGCATGATGACCAATATAATATGTCACCCCACATATTCATTGCAGCTGCATGATTGGAAAAACCGGAAATGTAAACAAAACTTTTATATGGAAACTTTGGAATATAACCAAATACAAATTAAGATGGTAAACGAATATTTGAGTCATCATCGGAAAAGCTCATTTACACTGATAATAGTCACATAAATGGCACACTTGATCCATAAAATTGACTTGATTTGAACTAATTATAGAGTTTAATTTGTATTAGTTTAGCTTGGCGTTGAATTTGTTCTATTTAGGCTGGTTTAGAATAAGCTCACATAAAAAGGTATAATCTGAAATTATTCAGTTGTTACTTAACCTCATGTTTAATTCAAATTGGAATTGGTGCTAAATAGCCAAACCCAATCCTACTTTGGCCAATAAAAGCCCCAAAAGAACTTTCTTCAAAACCGTCTTTTCCTTCTGCATTCCTTATCTTACATGGTTATGTGTCTTCTGTCACTGCAGCAATCTTCTTTGACCTACAAAAAAATCCAAAGGGTAATCACTGAAAACTTTAATACAAGACAATTGACTAATTATTTAATTTGGATCACTCGTTCAAGATTTTTCAAACAAGATTATTTCACTGCCTGAACTTGTGTGAAGATAAGAATAGGAATGAATGTATGTGAAGAAGTGTCCCCTATCGGAATTTCAAGAAATCTTGTATATGCTTCATGGAATCAGAGCAAGTCGGCTCACATATAAAGTTCAACAGTCATACGTATTTCGTGTCACTCAGTTGGTTATTCACGTATTGGGCTTGAAGATTCTCCACCCATAGGGCGACGTGTGAGAAAACGAAGAAATATCCCACATTGGAAAGTTACCAAACCATGCATGTACTCATAAAATTTTTTATTGCGAAACCTTAGCCTCCTCACACAAACATAATGAATAGTGCTCACTAGTCTACAAATATTAATAGTGTGCATTCTGCAAACAATGCAAATCTGCACCACAAAAAAAAGAAAGAAAAAAAAAATAGTCATACAGAAAATAGAGGATGGATACCAAGGAAGTACCTAAAAAGCCTCATGCTGTTTGTATTCCAATTCCAGCTCAAAGCCATATCAAGGCCATGCTTAAATTCGCAAAGCTCCTCCACCACAGAGGTTTTCATATCACCTTTGTCAACACAGTGTTCAACCACAAGCGCTTTCTTAGATCTCTTGGCCCCAACTCCCTTGACGGCTTGCCTGATTTTCGGTTTGAAGCCATCCCAGATGGCCTTCCTGATTCAGACGAAGATACCACCCAAGATGTCATTTTGCTCGCTGACTGTGTCAGAAAACAATATTTCTTGGCTCCCTTTCGTGCCCTTCTCAAAAAACTCAACAATGATGCCATATCAACAACCAACAATCCTCCAGTGACTTGCATAATTTCAGATGGTTCCATGTCCATATTCACAATTACAGCTGCCGAAGAAATTGAAGTCCCTATAGTACTGTTTTACACTATTGCTGCATGCAGCTTCATGGGCTGTATGCAATTTCGTGCTTTGGTCGAAAAAGGACTTGTACCACTCAAAGGTTAAATATTTACAACTATTGGACAAACTGATATTTATGATTAACACTTTTAATTGCTTATGTGTATAAAAAATTTCGTGTTGTAGATGAGAGTTGTTTGACAAATGGCTATTTGGACAAGGTTATCGATTGGATTCCAGGAGTGAAGGATATCCGTTTGAAGGATCTCCCAACCTTCCTTCGAACCACAAATCGTGAGGACATATTTTTCAACTTCGTGATGGAATCAACAGATAGAGCGCATGAAGCTTCAGCAGTTATTCTTCATACTTTTGATGCCTTGGAGCGTGATGTTTTGGATGCTCTCTCATCTGTGCTTCCACGGGTTTATACCATTGGCCCTCTTCAATTACATCTCAATCAGATACCTGAACACCCCTTGAATATTGGATACAGTCTATGGAAAGAAGATACTGAATGCCTTGAGTGGCTAAACAGTAAGGCGCCAAATTCAGTTGTGTACGTGAACTTTGGCAGTACAGCGGTCATGACACCTGAACATCTAGTCGAGTTTGCATGGGGACTAGCAAACAGCAAGCTGCCTTTCTTCTGGGTAGTTAGACCTGATTTGGTGATTGGCGAACCAGCGATTTTGCAACCTGAGTTTGTGGCTGAAACAAAGGAAAGAAGTTTAATAGCAAATTGGTGCCCACAAGAGCTTGTCCTTAACCATCCATCAGTTGGAGGATTTTTAACACACAGCGGTTGGGGTTCAACAATTGAGAGCCTGACTGCAGGAGTGCCTATGCTCTGTTGGCCATTCTTTGCCGACCAGCAAATGGACTGCCGCTATACTTGCAAGGAATGGGGCATTGGCATGGAAATCAATAATGATGTGAAGAGGGATGAAGTAGAGAGGCTTGTTATAGAGTTAGTGGAGGGGGAGAAGGCTAAGAAGATGAAAAGTAAGGTGATGGAGTGGAAGAAACTTGCAGAAGAAGCTACTAGTCCTCACGGTTCTTCATCCAAGAACTTCGACAATTTAGTGAATCGTGTGCTATTAAGGAAAAGCTAGATATCAGCTTTAACAATATTGTTATTGATTATTTTTGTAATTTTGTTCGTGCTGTGAGAAATTGCATGTACTGCATTCCTAGTTGTTTTTTGGTTCAATAAACTAGTAATATGTTTAGCGTGCGACCACCATCTTGAATTTTGTTTTCCTTTAAGTGTGATTAATTGATCTTAATTTTCCAATATCTAATAATAATAAAATTCTTGAGATTAAAAATATTGAAGTTTTGCTACAAACTTTATATATATAAAAAAAAACCAACAATTTCAACACCAATAGAAGAATAAAGCATAAAACCAACGAAAATTGAGTTGGTAATGAAATATTTTAGTAAAAAAGAGAAAAAAACAGAAGTGGTTATATTTGTACCACAAAATGAAAGAAGTGAAGAATCCATATAACTCATACATTTGAGGGCTAGTAAGGATCCAAATCTCGTGTACTGGCAAGTGGCTTGTAGTTTGGTTAAGAGCATTAGTCCACTAGGGATAGTCAATTGGTGCTATGTATTTATTGTCATGGTCCAGTTCAAACGCCTGGTGGAAAACCAAACAGAGGTCATTTTTGCCACTTTACTGTCCGTGAACAGTACACCCGAGTTTGGGTTTTAGTATAGGATAATTTCTCTTGCTGACTTCTATTTTCAATGAATGCCTACTTTCTTTCACATCTCCCTGAATTTACTTGATCTCTCTAAATTCAAATACAAGAAAATGGATTACCATTCAACTTAAACCACATATATGTTGAAAAGTAGCTCACTACTAGCACTTGATAGCCAAATCCAATCCTACTTCGGCCAATCAAAAGCCCCAAAGAACTTTCTTCAAAACTTTGTCTTTTTCCTTCTACATTCCCTCTAATTACATGGTTGTGGTCTTCCGTCACTGCAGCAATCTTCTTTGACCTACAAATAAATCCAAAGGCAACCAACGAAAATTTTATTCCAAGACAATTGACTAGTTATTTAATTTGGATCACTCCATTCAAGATTCTGCAAATAAAATTATTTCACAGCCTGAGCTAGTGTGAAGATAAGAATAGGAATGAAAGGATGTGAAGGAGTGTTCCTTATCGGAATTTCAACAAATTTTGTATGTGATTCAAGGAATCAGAGCAAATTGGCTTACATGTGAAGCCTAACCATTATACGTATTTCGTGTCACTCGTTTATTCACGTATTGAACTTGAAAATTCTCCACACATAAGGAAACGTGTGAGAAAACGAAGAAATATGAATTTACTGAACCATGCATGTACTCATAAAGAATTTTGGTTACTCTATATCTTGCAAATTAATTTAATTGCAAAAACTTAGGCCCGTTTGGTATACTATTAAATTTTTTTATCATTTTCAAAACTATTTCTTAAAACCATTTCTTTTGGTACGAATTATTTTTAAATCTTAACAATTAAATAAATAAGAAAGGGAGAGAGAAAATCGAAAGAAAGGAAGAGAGAGGCGAGGGAACTGAGAGAGAGAATTTGTAGTGAGAGACAGAGAAAACTAAAGGAAATGATCTGAAGAGAGGAGAGAAAGGAAGAGGAGAGATGGGAGAGAAAATTATAACAGATTGGAAGAGAGGAGAGAAAAGGAAATGATTGGATGAGAGAGAAGAGAAGAAAATCATGACACAGGAACAGTTGATAGGAGGACAACCAGAGAGAGATCAGATTAAAAACTTTAAAAACTTTTTTTTTTTTTTTTTTTGTATTTTTCACAAATAACTAATTTTTTAAGTTGGTTTTGAGTTTACTTTTTAAAAAAGTAGTCCTATCAAATAAGAATTATTGACTTGAAACTCACAAACTGTATTTAAGATAAAAAAAAAAAAAATTGGATTTAAATTGCATATGAAACAGGCTCCTAGATTCCTCACACAAACATATTGAAAAGTGCTCACTATAAATATTAGTAGTGTGCATTCTGCAAACGCTGAGTCTGCAATACAAAAAAAATAGGCATACAGAAAATAGAGGATGGATACCAGAGAGGTACCTAATAAGCCTCATGCTGTTTGTATTCCAGTTGCAGCTCAGAGCCACATCAAGGCCATGCTTCAATTTGCAAAGCTTCTCCACCACAGAGGTTTTCATATCACCTTTGTCAACACAGTGTTCAACCACAAGCGCTTTCTTAGATCTCTCGGCCCCAACTCCCTTGACGGCTTGCCTGATTTTCGGTTCGAAGCCATCCCAGATGGCCTTCCTGATTCAGATGAAAATGCCACCCAAGATGTCGCTTTGCTTGCTGACTCTGTCAGAAAACAGAATTTCTTGGCTCCCTTTCGTGCCCTCCTCAATAAACTCAACAACGATGCCTTATCCACATCCAACAATCCAAGGGTGACTTACATAATTTCAGACGGTTTCATGTCCACATTCACAATCACAGCTGCTGAAGAAATTGGAGTCCCTATAGTACTGTTCTACACTATTGCTGCATGCAGCTTCATGGGCTTTATACAACTTCGTGCTTTGGTCGAAAAAGGACTTGCACCACTTAAAGGTTAAATATTTACAACTATTGGACAAACTGATATTTATGATTAACTCTTCTAATTGCTTAATCATAACTTTGTGTGTAAATTTTTGTGTGTCGTAGATGAGAGTTGTTTGACAAATGGCTATTTGGACAAGGTTATAGATTGGATTCCAGGAATGAAGGGTATCCGTTTGAAGGATCTCCCAACCTTCCTTCGAACCACAAATCCTAATGACTTATTTTTAAACTTCATGATGGAATCAACAGATAGAGCTCATGAAGCTTCAGCAATTATTCTTCATACTTTTGATGCCTTGGAGCGAGATGTTTTGGATGCTCTGGCATCTATGCTTCCGCTTGTTTATTCCATTGGCCCTCTTCAATTACATCTCAACCAGATACCAGAACATCCCTTGAATATTGGATACAGTCTATGGAAAGAAGAGACTCAATGCCTCGAGTGGCTAAATAGTAAGGCGCCAAATTCAGTTGTGTACGTGAATTTTGGCAGTATAACTGTTATGACACCCGAACATCTAGCTGAGTTTGGATGGGGACTAGCAAACAGCAAGCTGCCTTTCTTCTGGGTAATTAGACCCGATGTGGTAATTGGCGGATCAGCGATTTTGCCATCAGAGTTTGTGGCTGAAACAAAAGAAAGAAGTTTATTTGCAAGTTGGTGCCCACAAGAGCATGTGCTGAACCATCCATCAGTTGGAGGATTTTTAACACACAGCGGTTGGAGTTCAACCATTGAGAGCCTGACTGCAGGAGTGCCTATGCTCTGTTGGCCATTCTTTTGCGACCAGCAAATGGACTGCCGCTATACTTGCAATGAATGGGGCATTGGCATGGAAATCAATAATGACGTGAAGAGGGATGAAGTAGAGAAGCTTGTTAGAGAGTTAATGGAGGGGAAGAAGGCTAAGAAGATGAAAAATAAGGTCATGGAGTTGAAGAAACTTGCAGAAGAATCTACTAGTCCTCACGGTTCTTCATCCAAGAACTTCGACAATTTAGTAAATCGTGTGCTATTAAGGAAAAGCTAGAGGTCAGCTTTAACAATATTGTTAAGCTTTTGATGTTTTTACATTGTTGGCCACAGCCTTAAATGATAATTATCTGGCTAGCAAGATGTGAGGAAGCATGTACTGCATTCCTAAATGTTTTTTGGTTCAATAACTAGTAATATGTTTAGCCTGCGACCACCATCTTAAATTCTGTCAAATAATATCATGTATTAGTAAGTGGCTGTAACTCAATTTGTTAAAAGCATTTATCTTTGCATTTGAAATTCTATGTATGAATCCCTCTTCCCATCGTTTAATGTAGATTATTCTATTGTTTGTTAAAAAAACCAAAAGAGAGGAAAAAATAATGCCCTGTACTATAGTCCACTAGGGATAGTCAATGGTGCCCATGGATTGTCATGCTCTAATTAAAAAAATATAGACAAGTCTCAAATTAAGGTGCGCATCACATCTCAAAAATAGAATATGAAATTTCATAATTAAAATGTGACAAAATAAAAATAAATAAATGAATAACTCCAGAGCAATTAACGAAAACAAACTAAACTTGAGTTTGTTTTTACTTTGCAATACGTCCTTTGTTCCGAATACGTAAGGCAACCAACCCTAGCATGGAATTCTTGTTCCTTATTCAAACAAACCTTCTTGCAAAAGCTTAAACAAACCTTAAAGAAACTTCGTCCTCGAAATTTAAAACGTATCGGTGTTAGAAAATAGTTTTGGGTATTTCTTCCGCTTTTCGGTTTCTAATTCCCATGTGATGCTGATGAAGACCATTAGAATTCAATGTAGGAGATCACGTATTTCTCATGATATCTCCCTCTAGAGGAATCAAAAGATTTGAAAAGTCTGGGAAGTCATCTCCTAGATTTATTGGTCGTTTTAAAATCGTATAGAGAATAGAGGAAGTGCTTACCGATTAGCTTTATCACCACAAATTTCAAGTGTTCACGATGTTTCCGATGTCTCAATGCTTCGAAAGTATGAACCAGATCCAACACATGCTATCGACTAGCAAGAGTTTTGAGCAGATGAAGGCTAATCCTTTGAAGATAGACCAATCCAGATATTGGATCATAAAGAACAAACCCTTCGTACAGTATCAATTATGTTGGTCAAAGTTCTTTGGCAACATGGTGATGTGGAAAGTGCTACATGGGAATTATAAACTGAAATGGGGAAGAAATACCCATAACTATTTTCTAACACTGGTACGTTTTAAATTTTGAGGATGAAATTTGTTTAAGGCTTGTTTAAGTTTGTGCAAGAAAGTTTGTTTGAATAAGGAACGAGAGTTCCATGCTAGAGTTGTTTGCCTTGTGTATTTGGAACGAATGACGTATTGCAAGGTAAAAACCAATTCGAGTTTAATTTGTTTGTTGTTAGTTGCTAGCTCTGAAGTTATTTTTGTGTTACATTGTCGCATCTTAATTATTAAAATGTAAAATTCTATTGTTGAGATGTGGTTCACAGGTTAATTCAAGAATTGATTATAGTTTTCGAATTGGAGCGTGTAAAAGCCATTTTTTGAATTACTGTGTGCTACATGCGACTTACACATTTTAAATGTATTTATACGTGTGAATTGCTTCAATAATTTTTTTTATGACAAAAAGAAAGTCAAATATTTGGAATAAATGAATAATATTAGACCATGCTAGAAGAAACCTCTCATAAACCAATCAAAGTAGTTGAATTCATATAACAAAAGCGGTCTTTCAATTTCCATCTACATTCTATTTACATTAAAAATGGAGAAAATAATATTTAATAAACAATTGATACGTGGACAAATTTTTAAGCCTAATACGTGGATAACATAACTCGGTGACGTGGAGCACGTGTGGCCGTTGAGCTTCACACGTGGAACAACCTACTCCTACACTCTAAAGAAAGTTGAGGTTATACCATAAAACCAATTGTAAATATGGAAAGTAGTCCAGCCTCTTATAAGTCCTTACAAGATTTTTCTTTTTACCAGTGTGGGACTCTTTTACTTTTACATTCTGACACGGCCCCTCACGTATGACGAATTTTTAAGCCAAACACATGGACAACACGAATTGGGTGATGTGGAGCACGCGAATTTTCAAGCCAAACACGTGGACAACATGAATTGGGTGGCGTGAAACATGTGTTGCCGTTGGGCTTCACACGTGGGCCAACCTGCTCTAATACCATGAAAAAAGTTGAGGTTCCACTACAAAACAAATCGACAATATGAGGAGTAGTCTAACTACTTATAAACATATGCAAAGTCTCTCCTCTCATCAATATAAGATTCATTCTCAACAGCGCCAACAGTAGCTACTAAGCCTCACGCTGTTTGCATTCCAGTTCTGATGCGAAGCCATATCAAGGCAACGCTTAAATTTGCAAAACTCCTGCACAGTAGAGGTTTTCATATTACCTTTGTCAAAGTTGATCCATCAGGTTGACTTCGTTTAGACTAATTATAAAGATTACTTTGGATTAGTGGAGCTTGCGTTGGATTTATTTCATTTATGTTATTGATTTTTTTTAGCAAACGATATTATTTACATTAAGGGTGTAGGAGAGTGGGCTAAGCTTCACAATGGGCTAGGAATAATGTGGTTTAAATTCGTCTTTGACGAGAATCGAACCTAAAACCTCTCGCTCATTTTTATTTTTATTTTTTATTTATTAATTTATTTTTAAACAAACGATATTATCTGCACTAATGGAGTGGAGAGTGGGCTAAGCCTAGCCCATTATAGGGCTTGTCCCACTTCCTTATTCTCTTATTATAGATATATCGTTTGTTAAAAAAAATTTATATAGGGAAGGTATGATCTCAAATTATTCAGTTGTTAATTAAATTGAAATTGGTCTTAGATAGCCAAATCCAATCCTACTTCGGCCCAACAAAAGCCCCAAATAACTTTCTTCAAAAATTTGTCTTTTTTCTTCTGCATTCCTTGTAATTACATAGTTATGGTCTTCTGTCACTGCAGCAATATTCTTTGACCTACAAATAAATCCAAAGGGTAAGCAATGAAAATTTTATTACAAGATAATTGACTAGTTATTTAATTTGGATCACTCCATTCAAGATTCTTCAAACAAGGTTATTTTACTGCCCGTATTAGCGTGAAGATAAGAATAGGAATGAAAGGATGTGAAGAAGTGTCCTCTATGGAATTTCAACAAATTTTGTATGTGATTCATAGAATTAGAGAAAGTTGGCTCACATGTGGTCCAACCGCTATACATATTTCGTGTCACTCGGTTATTCACGTATTGAGCTTCAAAATTCTCCATGCATAAGGAAATGTGTGAGAAAATGAAGAAATATCCCACATTAGAAATTTACCAAACCATGCATGTACTCATAAAAAATTTTGGTTACTCTATATCTTGCAAATTGATTTTATTGCAAAAACTTAGGGCCATACTAGAATTGGTTCAATATGCATGAATTGCTTCAATATTTTTTTTTCTTTTATGACAAAAAGAAAGTTAAATATTTGGACTAAATTAATAATATTAGACCATGCTACAATAAACCCCTCATAACCCAATCAAAGCAGCTGACTTCACATAATAAAATTGATTTTTCAATTTCCATCTACATTCTATTGAATTTATATTAAAAATAGAGAAAATAATATTTAATAAACAACTGATTGATTCACATCATTTATAGCCTATTATGAGGCTAAGCCCACACTTTCTCTCTTAATGTTGATAATATCATTTGTTCAAAAAAAAAAAAACGATCATTTGACAACTAATTGAATCACATTATTATGAGAGTGCAAAAAACTTTTTTTTATAACCAGCACTACCCACCTCTTAAGATATTTTGAACATGTTTAAAAATAGAAAAAAAAATATTATTAAACAATTGGTTAAATCACATTATTGTTAGTCCATTGTGTCACATCTTGGCCCAGGGTGGATCACTTCCCGGGCCCGCTCCACCACCGTAGCACGATATTGTCCGCTTTGGGCTTACCATTCCCTCATGGTTTTGTTTTTGGGAACTCACGAGCAACTTCCCAGTGGGTCACCCATCATGGGATTGCTCTAGCCCCCTTCTCGCTTAACTTCGGAGTTCCTACGGAACCCAAAGCCAGTGAGCTCCCAAAAGGCCTCGTGCTAGGTAAGGATGGGAATATACATTGTGACATCCCACATCGCCCAGGGGAGTGATCCTTAAATGTATATTCCTATCCCTACCTAGCACGAGGCCTTTTGTCCCAACATCTCTTACATCCGTGCAAACCCAAATCCACCCAAAAATACCACAGCTTTCACCTTCAAATCATCATATTACAGTTATAGCTTCCGATTAACCAATATACATGAGTTTGCGCCCTTCAGCAGCAAGGAGAAATCAGATCTGCAGATGTTGAAACGGTGTCGGTCGAATTGATCTCGGAAACATCAAGGCTTCGAACCTCCATCGGTGTAAGAGGTCGGTAGATGCATCTTTAAAATCTGAATCAAAGAACACAAGCACAAGCTGGTCAAACCAGCAAAACTCCAAAAGCATCTCATATATTTACTGGAAAATCTACAGTACCACGTTACATTGAATACAACATGAAATAAACGAATGAGATATAAAGAAACGGATCATATTCATACACATTGCAGAGAACCTACAGTTTTTTACCCCTAAAAATGCAAACCTATTTCAGACAATACACGAAGTATCTGAAGTTCCGTCACGTCGCAAACAAAAACTTGTCCATTATAGAAAATCGTAATTTGTTCTTTGCTCCGAGTTGACTCACCCCTAACAAAGATAAGAGGGAAAGCAAAGAGATATCAGGGAAGTCTTTTTCCAGTTTCCAAAAGAGATATCAACAAGCAAACAGATAGAATTAAACATTTGTTTGGTCATTTCAAATTTTTGGCATGATATATCAAATGCAATCTCTTATAAAACCAAAAGGAAAAGGCTATGATTTTGAAATCGTCCACACACGCACAAAATGATCATAACTTCTCATCCACTAGTGTACGTGTGAATTTCATCGTCAATCTCATACATGCACAGTTAAGACTCACTTATGTGCGTGTGAATGCGGAAAAATATCATAGCATTTTTGGCACGAAAACACTGATGAACTTACGTTGGAGTTTTGTGTGAATACGACTGTGGTTCAGAAGTGGCCATCGGAGAAAGTTGAACGTACAAGCTGCACTCCGTTTCCGATAGCCGCCAGTAGGAGGAGAGACTACTATTCCATCTGAGAATTAAATCAAGTCATAAAAATAAAGCTACAAAATGGGGGGGGGGGGGGGGGGGGGGGGGGGGGAGGGGGTGGTGGTGGGGGTGGTTGGGCTAGAGAACTGTATCGACGAAGGGATCAGAGTTTTCATGGTTTGTTATAGGAGAGTGTTTGATAAAATAAAAAGAATAAAAAAAAGCATAAAAAACGTACCCCAAATGTTGGCTAGGTATTTGGCCACGTGAGAAATTCTTTCACTCTCTTTCTCCGTCTAATTTTCTCTACCTCTCTCTCACACTTTCTACATTATGACATTGCGTGAAGGTAGCGGCCTTTTGTCTTTTCAAATTGGATTCCAAAAATGGAAAGTATTGTATTGCAAATTTGCAATTCATGAGGGTTTGTTTTGCAATTCATGATTCACGGATTCCCAGAATCCTCACAAAGAGGATTCAGATAGAATCCAGATTCATGTTAAGGATCTAAACGTGAGGTTGTTTAAGTCATATGTTGACGTCTAACCTAGCTTTGTGATTAGACATGTGACTTTAGGTCGATCACTAGGTTTTGTGACAAAAATAATGAAATGATGGAAAATACTTAATTTGCACCATATTGTCGAAGTTCAATGTGATTAATTAGCAGAAGGTTCAAGTCTCACTCAACTTCGCCATTTGAGCTAAGCCATGCGACAACTTAATTATGACTCAATACCTACCCTCGCTTTTTTGGCTTGTGCAATAATAATCCACGAGGTTATCTACAAGGGTAACGCTATAAAGATTCAATTTATAAATCAAATTTTATAAATCAAATGTTGTGAATAGTGATGATTAGATTATTACTTAATTTTTGATTAATGTGCTTATTTTTTATTGATGACACATCAATTGATTGACAAATTTGATTTAAAAATTTGATCTCCCAAACTTTACTCTATCTACAAATATTGTGCTAAAATGCATAGAAAATAGGGGCGGCATGAGCAAAAGCTTTCAAGCCTTTAAAATTATGAGTAACATACGAATTGTTGTGTTCCCATGGTCACCATTCCCTTGCAAACAAGAAATCACACTAAGAATTGAGACATAGCTAGTGAGGGTCCTCTACAAATGAAGGGAAGTGTAAAACTTCTTAGGGTAGAGTTATTGGGACTTGGTCAAAATGTTTGTTTCTGTTTTAGCAGACTGCTAGGCCGACATAGCATTTGACTTAGAGTTTGTTTAGTCATTTGAAGATTATCTCTGCAAAAATTATTCGAATTAGAGTTTGTTTAGTCATCCAAATATATTAAATACATGGACGGTTCATCCTGAATATACTACTTAGTATCTACACTGTTAATTTATTTGATACATTTAGATAACTATGATTATAATGAAAAATAAAAAGATGGAGAAATAAAAGTCCGCTCCAAAATACTTCTTTTAGAGTACTTATGCTCAAATGTATTTTGAGTAAAATCACTTCTATTAGAAAAGTATCGATAATTTTAACAAAATTGCAAGTGTTTTTTAGGTAACCAAAAGCTTTTCTATGTTCCTAATTTTTTTTTACCAAATATTGTCGGAAGCACTTCTGAGGAAAAGGTGGATCCATTTTTTGGGGATCCGAAGATCTTGTAATTATGTCTGTTCATCGTACATTGTGTGGTCATAAATCATTTTAAATTTAAAATTAAATATAAATAGTACCTAATGAAAACTGATCGCACGATGTACGATGAACATATATGATTACAAGATCCCCCAGATCCTCAGGAAAAAGATCGGCGAGCTGATAATTTAAAGCCGTTTTTAGTTTTGAAAACACATTTTCAAAACGGCCTGAAATTTACCGTATGATCCGGGATAGAATTGAACTTTAATCTTTTCTTGATAAGAGAAAAATTTGAACTTTCATTATCAAATATCTTATTAATACTCTCAACAAGCTTTTTGATAATCACGAATTCTGTTTGAAGATTCCAACCAGCCGGCCTTGTCATCTTGTCATGTAATTTTAGCAAAGAAACTCTAGTTTACAAGGCCTTTTTTTTTTCTCTTTCTAAAAATAATTTTGATTGCTTATGCCCGTCCTTTCTTCATATTTTTACTTGCTACTCCATTCATATTGGACATGTATGTAATGACAGTTTAGTCTTCGTAAAATTTGTGTACCGATTTTCTCATCAATTTGGACGTTCTTCGTCTACTTGTCTCAAAGGTTAGAAATTTGAGTATGACAGTCAGATTAGATGGATGATCAGTTATAGTTTTAAAAGAAACAAGTCTTATTGTATTTGAATATGATTTAAGTTTACATAGGTATAACTTGCGAAACACATTTTCACCTTTTGTGAGAATTATATGAATAGTGAATTTGATCAAACTACTCTATTCAGGTTTGTATCCTCAAACGTTGACTCTTTCAAATTGTTAGTTGGTAACTTATTTTTGTTTACTGACACGCCTGACCCTGATATTCTCCAAACAAAATTGTTAGTTGGTAACTTATTTTTGTTTACTATAATCCATGATTATTAATTTATTATAATAGTCATGCCAAAATTCTTGTGCATGGGAATCTTTGTAGAACTCATTGTCCTAACCTATAAAATGCACACATTATAAACATTCATCATTATCAGAAATTTACACTCAAAGTAAGATGGGTTCTAATAAACCTCATGCTGTTTGTGTGCCTGTTCCACTTCAGGGTCACTTAAAGGCAATGCTCAAATTGGCAAAGCTCCTCCACCATAAAGGCTTTCACATAACCATTATCAACACAGAGTTCAACCACAGGCGCTTACTTAAATCTCTTGGACCCAACTCCCTAGATGGCTTGTCGGATTTTCGGTTTGAAACGATTCCCGATAGCCTTCCAGATTCGAATGAAGAGGCCACCCAAGACCTCAATTTGCTCGCTGATTCCATCAGGAATAAGTTCTTGGCACCTTTTCTAGACCTCGTCACAAAACTGAACAATGAAAATCCAGTGACCTGCATTGTTTCGGATGGTTTCATGCCTTTCACAACTCCTGCTGCCAAACAACTTGGCATCCCCATCACACTTTTCTTTACTTTTGCAGCAAGCAGCTTCATGGGGTTTAAGCAATATCCTGCTTTGGTGGAAAAAGGACTTGCACCACTCAAAGGTGAAACAATTGAAGAAATTAATCTTTAATTTTAGTATTAGTTTCTCTTCGGTTTTTGCCAATCAACAATTGCGTCGCTAGTGACTACTCTAGTAGCACCCAGTTTCCACTCTGTTGGAGGAGGTGTGAGTTCAAAGTTCACCAACGAAAGTTGTTGCATTAGTAAAAAAGTGAAATTATGGTCCATGAGATTTGCTCTTTAATTTTCTAAGTATGCAAATTAATGAACTTTCATTAATGTTCAAGTATCATGTGGGTGCTAATTGTGCAGATGAGAGTTGTTTCGTAAATGGATTTTTAGACCAGGTTATAGATTGGATTCCAGGAATGAAAAATATCCGTTTAAGGGATCTCCCAAATAACTTTTTAACAACAGATCCCAATGATGAAATTTTCACTGGCGTCCTTGAAGTAATTGGTCAAGTTCATGAAGACTCAGCAGTCATTGTACATACTTTTGATGCATTGGAGCTAGATGTTTTGGATGCTCTCTTGTCTATGTCTCCACCTGTATACGCCATTGGCCCTCTTCAATTACTTCTCAATCAGATACCACAACACCCTTTGAAGTCCTTGGGATACAGTCTATGGAGAGAAGAAACTGAGTGCCTCAAATGGCTTGATGATAAGGAGCCAAACTCAGTTGTTTATGTGAATTTCGGCAGCATAACGGTAATGACATCGGAACAACTTGTGGAGTTCGGTTGGGGTCTTGCAAATAGCAAGCTTACTTTCTTTTGGGTAATTAGGCCTGATTTGATCATCGGTGAATCCGCAATTTTACCACCTAAGTTTGTGGATGAAACTAAGGGAAGAAGTCTAATAGCAGGTTGGTGCCCACAAGAGCAAGTGCTTAACCATCCATCAGTTGGAGGATTTTTAACACATAGCGGTTGGAATTCGACAATAGAGAGTGTGTCTGCAGGCGTGCCTATGTTATGTTGGCCATTCTTTGCTGATCAGCAAACAAACTGCCACTATAGTTGCAAAGAATGGGGCATTGGTATGGAGATTGATAATAAAGTGAAGAGAGATGAACTGGAGAAGCTTGTCAGAGAATTAATGGAGGGAGAGAAGGGGAAGAAAATGAAGAATAAGGCCATCGAGTGGAAGACATTGGCAGAAGAAGCCACTGGTCCACATGGTTCTTCATCCACGAACTTAGAGAAATTAGTGAATCAAATGCAATTAAGAAAACGCTAGATGTTTTGGATAAGAAGTTATTTGTTCAAAGACTAGCTAGGTATATTTTATTTTGTTACTGTCTTCAGTTTTATCTAGATATAAGTTTTATCTTATGTACCAATATTTACTTTGTTTGGGTCACTTGACGATAGATGCAGACACAGAGTATGTACACTTAGGGACACATGATTTTTTTCTTCTATGGTTTGAGAACGTCTAAAGTTAATTACTGAAAGATACAAGAAGGTATTGAATTTCTCAAAGAAAATCTCCATCATCAAAGGAGAAACCACTTATAGGGCATTTACTAATCCGTAATCAGATTGTGAGGAATTGAATTGATGAGGAATTGGATTGAGGAGGAATTGAAATGAGGTGGAATTAGAATCAGATTCTTGTTGAAGTTGTTTGCTAAAACTGAGGTAGAATCAAAATCAGATTCTTGTTAAAGTTGTTTACTAAAACTGTCTGGAATCGGAGTAGGAAAGATGTTTGAGTCTATATAAGTTATTTACTAATTCACTTCAATCAGAATTAAAACTAGGTAGATTACTAAATTGCCCTTACATAAATAAATTATTTTCATACTAAATAATTAAATTAAATTTATTAATTAAATTCATCTATATAAAAATATTTAAACATGTTTTATTTGTTTATTTTTTGTGAGAAAGTTTTATTTATTTATTTATTAAAAGATGGTTTTTTCATCCATCCCCCACTTGTCCATCTTTCCCACGGCTCCCTTTCCTTGCCCTGTCTTTATCTTCCACCCCCTTATGCCTCCATAGCCACTGCCCCATAGCTAGGCCATTCATGGTCTAGAGCGGAGCGGTCTTGTCGCCGTCTTGATCTTGATCCATTACGTCGGGTAAGAGTGCAACGATCGAATTCAGGTAAGAGTCCAGCAATTCGATGAAACAAGTGGAGATTAGGCTAGGTATGTGATGTGGCCATACACTGCCGAGGGTGTGGTGTTGACAGAGATGAAGAATGAGCAATGCTGGATAAGTGTCAAATGAAGGACAATCTTGGGATAATAAGAAATAAGTGAGGTTATAATTGGTAGAAAAAATTCATTCGAGATTCCTCAGATGTCCATGAATTAAAATACCTCCCTCATGTAGGGAGTCCAATTCCTCCAAAATAAGGAGTGGGATTCCCAGTGTGAAACCTTGTCCCTGATTTATCGTATTTTGTATTATCGGACTTATGAAACTACCAAATTACCCTTGAGTTGACTTTCGTTGACCATGTCATCAAAACACGTATTCCTAATTTTTGTAACTTATTCTTATGTATTCATCACCACGAACGTGTAGGCGCAAACGGATTTGAAATTGGATTTATAACGAAGTTTTTACGTTTCAAAACGTCGAACGGTTTTCGGATATTTTTCGTGTTTCGTCCTTAGTGACCTTGTTTTGTGAGCCACTAGGGCTCACATGTTTCCTCCATTTTCCCTCCCCGTGACCTCCTTCCTCTTTCTTTTGTCTGAAACACTCTTTCTCCCTCTCACAACTCTTTCATATATCTCCCTCTCGACACTCTCAGCTCTTTTTCAAACCACCCTTTCCAAGGGCTTCTCACACAAACAAACAACACGACAATGACAAAAACATCCCCACCATCACCCTGGTGAACTCCGAATTAAAGGAGAACCCTCCAAACACTTCCAAACTCACTACACTGTGCATTCACTATTCACCGAGTTTTCCAACGAGTTTCCACGTTCTCTGGCGAAGGTAAGCCTTAAACTTCATCCAAAAGTTGTAGATTGTATCTCAGTTATGTTTGGAAATAGTTTTTGGAATTTTTGGTGATGTTTGGATGCATGAATCTCACGGGGGAAGCTTTCCCATTTTTCTAGCGAGCATTGCCACTTTCAAGTCATTTTTCGATCAAACCATGTCGAGTTAGCTGTCTTACGAGGTACCATTCTCTTCATCTCGTCAAGAAGTATAATTTTTTTTCTTGAATCACTAGATTTCGTTGAGTATTGAAGACGTTATGAACGTTTAAAGCTTACCTAGTTTCCAGTGAGTTTTCCAGTTTGCCCGCGCACCAGTCACCTTTCAAGCAATTTTCCGGCCATCTCTGGCAACCATTGGGCTTCCAAATAGGTATAATCTTATTCTTCACTTTCCTAGCTTCGTTTGATATATTATGGGTCGATTTTGGTTAAGAAACGAGTGAGTTACGAAGCTTTGAAAATTGTCCAAACTTTCGGCCCAAAATCCCAGATTCCAGTGAGCTTCGGCTAGCTCGGCACTTCGACCGACTTGGCTCGGCTGAGTCAACCGTTGACTTCTGGTCAGCGTTGACCATTGACCAGTCAATGTTGATTTTGGGTTGACTTTTTTGGGGTTTCAACCGGGACCACTCCTAAACTAATTTCGATGTTCTGATTCAAAATCCACACTCCATCTTCCCAAATTCAATCGTTTGAGTAAAGTTTTATTAATTGGTCCTTTTATGTGCTTAGGTGTGTTTGTTAGTGGTGTTTTCGTCCTTCCTAGTTCAAACGGCTCTTCAGCGGCAAAGTATCTATGAGTGGACCCCTTCCAAAATGCATCATTTAATTACAAGAAATGCATACATGAAAAGCATGATTTTATGACTACATTTTACAAAACGTTTATGAGTAAAACGGATTTACACTTTATGAAATATCATGCTTTATCAGATTTATGTTCTTTGAAAGATTTATGATTATATACCATGAACATGATTTATGATATGATGTTTGAGCTATTGAGCTCTGATGAGACATATTTTAGAAATATTATGTTTATGATTTATGTGCTTATATATATGCCTACGGGCGAATGATATCATTAAATGGCTTCGGTTGGGTGATGTAGGAGCCTATAGGCAAATGATATCTATATATGGCTTCGGTTAAGTGATGTAGGGGCCTACGGGCAAGAATGAAGATTTATATATGGCTTCGGTCGGGTGATGTAGGGCCTGCAGGCGAATGAATGCCTTCGGGTGAATGAAGAATGAAGATATATATATATATATATATGCCTACAGGCAGGTGATGAAGTGTCTTCGGGTGAATGAAGATTCATATATATATATATATGCCTTTATGATGCTACTAAGCAAACTATATATAATATATGTTTTATGAAGTTTTTATGGCATGCTAGGGTTTTCGGAAAACGTATTACATATTATGCTAGATGAGTTTTCATAAACTTTGGGGGTTAGTACGTTGAAGAATAACTGTTTTAGTAGTATGCTCTGAACATGTCATGCATCATCACCATTATTTTGTTGGCAGTTGAATATTATTATATTATTTTGTAAAGGTTGTATTTGAATATTACGTTGCATAGTTATGCGTGAAATTTTTATGTATGTTTTACATGTTATCAGCATATGCATTCATAAATGGCTTGCGTCACCCTCGGGTGTCAGCCAGCACATAGCCATCCCATTGTCTTTCGGACACCGGGATCGAGGCGAGTTAGATTGGTATCAAAGCCTAGTTATTCAGAGCATACTTAGGATCTTCTGTTATTGTAGTAGTGTGTCGGCCTTGACATTATTTGGATGCCACGGTTTCCGGATTTGATGCATTTTGGTGCAGTTGTGTAAACCTTTTTTTGTTTGAATTGTCACATCCTATTTGAAGTACAAAATTCGTGTCGGGATTGTGCCTTAACAGCGACGAATTGTAGTGATGAATGACTCATCAACGAATCGATACTTTGTGACATGCATTCCCTAGGAATGGCGAGCAGAGTTGGATTTACATTGAAGTAACGCGAAATAGAAAACCTCAGTGAGAAGAAGTCTGGTTAAAACCAGCTGAAGATCAGATTAGGTGATGCTACTCTGCGACATGCGATCCCTAGGAATGGCGGACAGAGTCGTATCTACCTAGGAGTGTTGTGAAACAGAGAAATCTTAATGGTTTGAGTAGGAGATCTGAAACGATGAAGTTACTCAGTGACATGCATTCCCTAAGAATGGCGGATAGAGTCATATCTATATGGAATTTCCTCGAAACATTTGAAGTGCGAGTTAGAGAAAACGAGTAACTGATAGTCGTGTTTAGTAAGTGTTAGTTGGTAAGATCGAATCAATGTTCTCGGGCTTGTTGCCGCTGAGGGAATTCGTGTAGACTGTCTGAAGATTTCTCAATGATTGTACTATAGATAACCTTCTCGCTTACTCCAACACCAAGGTCAAGTTCGCCAAACATCGACAGTAAGTTTTACACCAAATTCTTTAGCGTTGGCTTTGTTTAGACTAAATACTTTCTTGTGAGACTCTTTTATAGTAGACGCTATTCTCATCAATTTCCAAAAAGGTTGCGATCGTTGGAAATTGAAAATCATCACAAGGTGTTGTGAAATGCGAAATATTCTTGATTTTGTCACTTTCTATCAACAGTTCTTAACGATTCTTTGAGCATAGCCTTATCTCCTTCTTGGCTATGAAACTAGTCAATTTTTTTGAGTTGTTGAAGGTGAACGAAGCTCCTGATAAAGGAAATATTATCTCGCTTGATCATTGTTCTTACACTTTTCGATGACATTGATGAATTTCAATCTTATGGTGATGTGTTATCGGATGTCTGGCTGCATGTTGATGCAGCATGATCAAGTAATGCGTGTTCATCTTTATGGTTGGAACCGCAGGAGGTAAACCATCCTATCTTTGACCTTGAGCCAGTGGTTACCGTTTTACTTGAAAAACTAATGACACCTTTTCTTTGTAGAAATTTATGTGGGACGAAAGTTGGGAACAAAACTTTTTGGAGTTTGGAACATCGTCTAACTCATGCTCCCCCTTGCTTTTCTTGACGTTGGTGGTGAGTTTTAAGTCTTTTGTTTTGCATCATTTCCAAAGAAGTTGTAGTGTGTTCTGACATAGAAATAGTTGAGTTTTAGATGAAATAGGTGGATAGGGCTCATCGGTGATTTTGGATTGCACTTTTGAGTACCATCTTGGTCAAGCAAATGTCGTAGCTGGTGCTTTTAGTCAGAAATTCCATGGAC